CAACCATGAAATTCAACTAGGAATGAGTTAACACTGCAAAAAAAAAAAAAAAAAAAATACTCAACGCTACCAAGGCTGCACGGCGGGAGGGCGGGGTCCAATTCTAGTGATCCTACAAAAATAAGTCCTTCTAGAAAGTGAGGCAACGTAAAAATGAGGCATCTGGAATGCTGGATCTCAGTGCTTAGTTAATTCGAACTCCATAACAACAGAAAGCGTGCGATCCTGAGCTGCATAATGCAACCATTGCCTGTTTTCAGCAGTGTTACCCCCCAAAAAAAAAAGAAGAAAAAGCAATGCAACGTTTCTTTCTAAGCAAGGGAAAAACACACACACGCACACACATATATATATACACACACATACACACCGATATACCCACACACATACATACACCGCCATACACATACGCCGATATATACACACACACACACACACACATATAGTGAGACCAAAAAAATTAAAAACAAACGTCTTGGATGGTCAAGATGAGTTCCATTCAAGGAGGCTCGATTACTGACTACTGCAACGGAAGCACGGGTTTTCTGATCCGCGATTGCGAGATTCGTACGTGCTGCAACAGTGGCAACGGTATTCGGTATGGCTTGGGAAAACGAAATTGTTGTTGCTGGTGTTATACACGTCTCAACGCTTGCCGATGTTGAAACAATTGCTGCAGTCGGCGCATAATAAGCTGAAAAATGAACTTACGAATCTTATGATTTGTGTAGCACAGTCTGTATGCAAATGTACTAACCATTATTTACAAAAATCGCGATTCTCACCTTAAAATCTTCATTTATGTTACTAAAGTACAAAAAAATTAAGCAATCGTAATTTTTCCGGTACACACACACACACACACACACACGCACACACACTCGACTAATGCAAGTTTCAATGTGCAATTGTTCAGTAAGCCATTCCGGAATTTCTACAGATATTATTCTTTTGGCAAGGCTTTACAAGCGAGGAACTACTCACTGGCAACCGGAATTGCATAGGGTGCATAACGATGTCCCCCATCGTTGATAACGGAGATATAATGGGTCCTGTTACTCGTTGTGATTACTTTCGAATGCGCCCCCGCTGTTGCCATCAACAAATCTCGCAATGTTGTTGTTTCCGGTGAAAATGACGGTAACAGAGATTGTGCAATCCTGGTCGTTGACTGCAATTTTTAAATTTTTCGTGAAAAAAATCAAAAAAAAAGCTGAAACATAAACATAAAACATAAAAAAGTTCGCTTTAGATCTAGAAATCCCTGTACCGAAGCCAGATTCGGAAAACTAACCTTAATGCAAGTGCCGGAGCCTTTCATTGCAAGTTCGAGCCGTTTGGTATCCACGCAGGGTGTAAGCTGCGCCAGAATGTCACCATTCACCCCGTAGCTGCTCCTTCTTGGTAAATTCGTTTCTGTGCCAACCACTGGCACCTGCGGAATGCTCGACAAACCGCCTGTTCGTTGTCTTCCACCAGCTGTTGCCTTAAAAAAAGCAGTCATATGCGTGGATTACAGCGGGTACGAGAACAAAACCGAATTACATTAACAGTGAGACCAAAAAAATTGTCAGATTTAACTAAAATTTTTTCCTTCACCACGACCTAAACCAATTCTAAAAACAAAAATAATAATATTTTATAAAAAATGATTATCACAATAAAGTCAAGTAGATTGCAGCTTCAGGCCAACTATGGAAGTGCAGATGGCAGGATACGCAAGTGTAGGAGACAGTAATTAAGGTTGGCGGAGAGAGTGAGATAAGACGTTTCGGTCCATTAAGTCATATACGTCTTAACTCAGCACTGCGACTGGACTTCGTCAGTATGACGGTCGCAGTGCACAAGGAAAATGAAAGAGGAAGAAGGGAAAAGAGCAAAAGAAGAAAAAAGACGAAAGAAGAGGGAAAAAGATGGAAACTGAAGGAAAAGGGAGCTAGGAGAAGGTGCAGAAGACGAGGGTAAAAAATTTTAAAAAGGTTGAAAAAGGAATGGAAGATTATGTCAGAATTATCGTACTGGTGTTTCGGTCCATTAAGTTATATAAATTTCAGCAAGTTTATCGGAAAAAACTCTTCTAAAATGACTGAAACAGGGAGAGAGAAAAAGGTTCAAAAACCATGCCTTAACAGCTACCTTCAACACTGTATGACGTACGGAGGAAATGTATTTAAACGAAATGTATGTAATGCAATTTTAGGCTAAACCAGGGCGACTAACATTCCCCTTCCGTTATGTACAGTTCATGCAAGTTAGCAGCCGCTCATCCCGCAGAACAATTATGTCTAGAAAGCGAAAAAGAAATTTACCAGCATCTTCGTGTTCTGAGCTGCAATATGATGGTCTTGGGATGGCATGTTCATCGGTGGATTTTGCCAGTCCATACGATTTCGCTTTGGTGGTGCCGTTGATACGAATACTTGTTGGACCGGGGGGTTCGCTGCTCCCCCGGAACTGCTGCTGCTGACATAATTAAAATTCCGAGGCTGATGCTGGGCCAGTTGCTCTCCCGTCGGCACCAACCCTTGGGGCTGCGGTGGCGGGAGATGTGTTTGAAAAACCGGAGCTGATTCAACGGTCGCTGCTTCGGCCGGGGCCTGCGGAAGGCATGAGGAATGATCGGGGACCCGTTTTGGCTGAAAATGAAATTAAAGCAAATGCCAGATACTGTACAAAATTTTGGCAAATCATTTTGGGATAATAAATGTATCAACTTCTATTCTTGATTAACACTTCCCCGAAAACTCTGCAGCTTCCTACAGATCTTTTATTCGCATCCGAAGATATCACTTGTTGCAACCCTCGAAGGGTCAAAGATCAAGCCTGATGTTGCCAAATACCCGAGACTTTTATATAAGATTCAAAATTTCGTAAAGAAGAAGCACTGTAGGAAACGGATAGACAGGGGTAAAAGAAGGAATGGAGAAAATGAGGCTGCAAGGAAATTCCACGGCCTGTTGAAAAAATGCTAATAGATGTAAAAAAAAAAGTCAGGAAAAACCCAATTTTTCCTAAGAAAGAGGAAGACAAAGGGAATGCCTACGCTCAGAAAGCAACAGCCTTGTCCCACTACTGCCTGCCTTCCGGAGCCATCAATCAAGTTTCGAAACAATTCGGTTTACTCAGAAAGTGATGAACGAGGCTCACCTGATAATTTACAGTTACCGAATTCGACATCGGCGCCTTCCTACCGCCAGGCGTTCCACAGCCGCCGCCAATCGAAGCAGTGAGCACAACAGGTTGCGGGCCACAACTGCTCATTGATTTCGCAGCAACTGTATCCAATGGTGGTCCATTTTGTTGCACACTTCAAAAAATCTCACATCAAATGTTTCAAACGAAAATTTGCAAAAAAACCTATACACGCAGAGAGAGAGAGGGAAACCCCCTCCCCCTCCTCCCTAGCTTCATTACTCACCACCAAATTCGAAAAAGAAGAATTCGATTACATTAAAAACCAAAACTCAAGGAATAATAAGACGCGGATCTAAGTCCAGTGAGTTTTCACTTAAAAAAAAAAAAAAAAAAAAAAAAAAAAAAAAAAAAAAA